CAGCTGAACACAAGCATTCTCCTCCCTCTCTTCCGGACCTCTGATACCATGTGACCAACTGCCTCAAACTCCTTGCCCACCGTGATGGAGTGTACTCTCAAATGTGAGCCAAAAAGTCAACCTTCCTCTCTTAAGTTGTTTGACTAGAGGTTGCTCTTTCTTGTCGTGACAACGCCAGTGTGGGCAAGAACAAATGAGACTGTGATTCACCTGCATTTCTGACATGTTTCTAATGAGAAAGAAGGGCACTGGAACAGAACGTGGGTAGGACCTAGTTCTCTAGACAAAGGGAGAGTGTTTAACTGATATCCTTTGCTTAAGGGCATTGTTTAGATAAATAGGCACCATTCAGACATCCTGGAAGAGTTGTAGAAATACATATACCTAAATTAGAGTTTTAAAATCCTCTTAATTAATCTAAGTTAAAACCCTTCTTGTTCTTTGACCTATGAAATTGCACTACATTAAAATGCAAATTAGCAAGACATTAAAATTTTTTAAATTATCTGGATTTTAATATGTGTTTTTATTGTGACCTTGTTTTAAAAAACTAGCAAAATATTTTGATATATCTTTTTTCCTAGAAAAAGCATACATAATTAGCATTTTCTGCACTTACACACAATCTAATTAACTATTTTAATATTCAACTGTAATGCAATTATCCTAGGTCATGATTCTCAAGAGGAAAAACAGAATTTGGGCCTAAATCAAAGGTTATATGGTTTTATATTACTGGTAAATTGTTTGTATACCTCTAAAAATAAAGACTTTTTCTTCAATATTTTTTTTAAAATAATGTGTGGTTTATATATCGCATTCATCTTAAACTGTATCTGATTCAAGTCTTGTAATTTTTATGGTGTCTGAGTATCATGTGTGTGTCTGTCTGTCTATGTCTGCTAAAAACAGAGAGAAGATAACTTCTTACTGAAATATGATTAGAGAAAAATCTTCTCATTAGTTCTCAGTAAAACATTATTAGTAGTAGTATTAGAATTTCTTTTATTTCCAGTATCAATGGCCTTGCTGCTACCATTTTTATATTCTAGAGTTAAGAAACTTATAAACTGCAGCTTCAGAGCATTCCCCACTGATATCAATTAACAAACAGGAAAATTATTTCTTGGTCACTGAGAAAAATGTTCTTTCCTAAAGAAGCATAGAATCAAATCGATAAACATTTTACTCAAGTATTGAACCTGGCGCTTCATGCTTGCTTGTCAACTGCTCTAAAATATAGCTACATCCGAGTCCTTGAGAACCGCTTTAATTTTTTATTTTATGGTGTGGGTGTGCGGCTGTGAGTGCGCACACATGTGCCCACACACACGTTTAGACAGGTGTAGGTATCCTCATTTATGTGCCATCACACTCCACTTTATTCCCTGAGGAAAGGTCTCTCGCTGAAACTGGAACTAGGCTGGTGGCAAGTCACAACACTCTCCTGTCCCTGTACACTACAGTCCTGGGTTTACAGGAACCTGCTCACAGCCAGCTTTTACCTGGACGCTGAGAATCTGAACTCTGGTATCACACCTTTTAAACTTTTTTACTTTTTATTTATTTATTTGTTTGTTTGTTTGTTTGTTTGTTGCACATGTGTTCACCTCTGTGAGCAAACAACTAGTGGGGGCTAAAGGATGATGTAGGATCCTCAAACCTGGAGTTAGATGTGTTTCCAGGGTGCCGGCTGGTTAAGTGTGCCCTGGGGTCTGAACTCTGGTTCTCAGAATTGCACAGGCATCACTCTTGAGCACTGATCCATGTTTCCAGTTCCCCGTCCCAAGGAAATGAAGAGAAACACTAAATCTTACTTGGTAATTTTGTACCAACGCCACTTAATGACTGATAGTTCAAATCAGGATACACAGGACAAACTGATAAAACAAAATATGCCGGAGCCACACAAACACATAGCAAGGAAGAAATGGTGGGACCAGGAGCAGAGACAAACAGACTGCCAATAAAGAAGACAACTCCTGAAGGAGTAGTCCCAAGGCAGCAACTTAAGCTAGGCTACCCTTAGACTAAACACCATTCTTTCTACTGGTTCACCTTTCCACTGCCTAAGCCATAAAGATAGACCCTCCTCTCCTAATAAAATTACTAGCAGAGATGGTGAAATTCCTCCCTGGGCTGCACTAGTGGTTATGGGGCAGCTGTCTTTGCAGAGGCTAGAATAAAAGGAAGCTGAAATCCGGATTCTTGTTTCTGACAAAAGACAGCATTTCCCTCTTTTTTTTCCTTCCTTGAATGAAGGCTTTTCCTTTGACTTCCACTCATTTTCTTAAATGACCAGCTCCCTCTCTCTGTAAACGGGCCAGCTGTGCTGACTGCGTCCAATTGCTGGAGCTTGGCTCTCGTGCCCAGCAGCTACACCACAGCCAATGCAGATGACGATGAAGAGTCAAACAGTTTACTACCCGATGTCTCTGCAAGCCAAGCTTTGCTACTGCGATGTAATTAACTATTAATTTAGGAGACGAAATATGAGTATGTGAAGCAGAATTGCTATCCATGCGAACTAAATTAACATGAAAAGATGGGAAAATCATCCTCTGAGAGCCTGAAATTCTCATTTAGATTAAATAAGCCACAAATTAAAATTGTCAATGGTAAAGGTCTGGCTATTGCCAAGGCTACTGGTTGCTCTCCACAAACTGATGGTTTTCTTTCTTTTTCTTTTTCCTTTTTTAAAAATTTTTATTAATTACAGTTTATTCTCTTTGTATCCCAGCTGTAGCCCCCTTCCTCATCCCCTTCCAATACCACCCTCCCTCTCTCTTCTCCTATGCCCTTCCCCCAGTCTAAGGATAGAGGAGGTCTTCCTCCCCTTCCATCTGACCCTAGTCTATCAGGAGTGGCTTCTTTGTCTTCCTCTGTAGACTGGTAAGGCTGCTCTCCCCCTCAGGGGGAGGTGATCAAAGAGCCAGCCACTGAGTTTATGTCAGAGTTCCTATTATTGGGGAACTTTCTTGGACACTGAGCTGCCATGGGCTACTTCTGTGCAGGGGTTCTAAGTTATCTCCATGCATGGTCCTTGTGTGGAGTATCAGTCTCAGATTATTGCTGAAGACAACGCTTACACAATTCAGCAAACATGGAAAAGTGGAGCCTCTACACCTATGGACTAGTTTTCACAGTACTGGAAGGTACTCTACAGGCTACCAAAGGGAAAAAAGTAAATACCAACCCAGCCATAAAGCCCTCAATCTACAGTTGTGAGCTGCCTGAAAAATTTGGTGGTACAATGGTTGCACAAAATCTGTAGGGGTAACCAGCCAATACCTGATTTGAATTAAGGCTCACTCCAGGAGATGGAACCGTACCTGACCCTACTTGGATCGCCAAGAACCTGAGACTAGATATAACATGAACACAGGGGAAAACCAAATACTACTGTTCTGCTAAAGGAATAACAATAACATGGCTCCAAATGCCATTCCGCTTTATTCATAGATCACTGTCTGCCCTCTTGAACCAGATGGGGACAAATACAAAGACCCACAACTGGACAATGTGCAGAAAGTAAGAGATTTTGGAACACTCAGCTCTAAACTGGATGTATGTATCAAACCCTTCCCTTCAGGCCTCAGAGAACCCTATGGAGGAAGAGGCAGAAAGAGTTAAAGAGCCAGAAGGGATGGAGGACACCAAGGAAATAAAAGTTTTCTGAACCAGCCAGGCTGAAGCACGTATGAACTTCAGAGACTGTGAGCATGCACCGGACCTGCATGGCTCTGCACTAAATGAGGTTCTAGAGCTGAAGGAGGAGAGGCAAACCCCCATCCCTAACCCAGAAGCAATCTCCAATTGATAATCTCTTGCAAATGAAAGTTCAGTCTTCTCTAAGGTAGTATCATTGGAGAAAGAAACCACTCTTCAGGCTAGGCTGCATGCCCAGGATTAGATGACTAAACAATGGTCGCACTCTTCAGTTTAAATAGAACCTTAAGGTATGAATTTTATGATTCTCTACAAATATTAACAGAAATTTATTGACCTATGTGTTTTGGTCATGTCACTAAAATCATATTTACTATCCCCTTAAGTGAAACATCATATATAACATTCTTGTTCCTAAGATATAATAAATGTATTTATATTCATATGAATATATGTTGCATACCATAATATCATCAAGATCCAAGGAGATATTTCAAATGGAAAAAGGAAAAACTAAAGGTAAGAGATAAATTGTTACAAAAGACATAAGTCTTTCTGAAGAAGTTTATGAACAATTACATGGGGTTTTTTTCTTGTAATTTTTATCCAAATGATAGATTCTTGAAATAAAATTGTTTGTACTTTACATTATATGTAAAAACTCAAGAATGCAATGCTATTTGCTTAAACTATAATTGACATCTATAATTATCAACAAAAACTATTTACTGAAATTTAAGGTTTCCACAAACTTTAGTTTTATATTTACAAATTACTGACAGAAATATTTTTCTCAAAAAAATCTTAACCCTATCAATGTCAAAAGATATAAAAGAAATAAAATTTCTATAAATATAAATGTTCATATTCATAAAGCAATTGTATTTTAAAGAATGCAATATAATATGTTTACTTTGAATCAATGTTCCTACAGCTTATAGAATTATGACTTTAGAAAGAATGAATTAAAAATTATATTACTAGAAATGTACACTACTAGAATCAATAAAAACAAATGAAATTCATAGTTTTCTCTAATCTCAGGTTTAGAGAGAGTTTAAGAACACTCTTAAAACAATGTGTGTTGTTTTAAATTGGAGCCTCAGCAACAAAACTTACAATAATACACTTAGTCTGCGCTGCCACCAAGTGCCTAAAACAATCAATTTAAACAATGTTGCAGCAGCTGTAAGTAGAGCCTTTTTTCTGCAAATAGCTATTTGCAAGGAGTGAGAGCAAATCACATGAGCTATGGATGATTGAAAAAGCACTACAGTTTAGGCAGTACAATGAGACCTCAAAAGCATTAACAAAACTTTTAAGAGTCCTACCAGGTCACGGGAAGATCATGAAGTCTAAAAATATTGTTTAGCTTGTAGTCGAATTTTGATGGACCAATGTTTTCATCACACACACTCAGGTCGGTATCTGGTTGCATATTTGTGGGAAATTCTGAATCCTGGGAAGAGGGGAGACATGAAGACAAAATGTCCGTTAAATATCTAAACTCATACACATTAATACTGTCTTATTTAACATTAAATTCTAATAAAAAATATCATTATACATAACTCTTACCATTAAGTCCTCATATGCCACTGCAATTTTGAGAAACTATGCAAGAAAGACAAATTATATAAGGCACCCATTTGTTTTCATAGCTGACTTTAGCTCTAAGTTGCATACATATTAGAAATTACTTGAAAGCCTTCCCTCTATGGATGATGGTGAAGTACAATTTAATGTCTTATATGATTTGTCAGTTGTCATTTTTGATAATCACTCAACCCTAACATCAATTTTATTTCAGCAATCAAAGCCTTAGGATTCATGTACCACAGTTGTCCTCTGTAAATGATATGCCTACAAATATGTTCACTGGATAGCAAAATGACTCTTGCTAACTGGTTAATTATGGTTTTATTACTTACACCCAAGGAAACAGGACTAATTTAAAGTTATTTGCTTTTATTTGTTAGGTAATCCTCTTCCCACCAAGCATATTCTACAAGAAAGGAATCTATCCTTGGTGAAGACGTTAAAGATAGGCATGCAAAATCCTTAATGACTTATACAGAAACTTTTTAAATCTATAAACACACCAAAGGAAATAATTCAGTAGTATTTATTCCCTAAAATTATCATTAGAAATGGAGATGCATATTTATTTTTGGCACCCAATCATTTATTTAAATCATATTTCTTAAAGACACACTCTTCCAAATGATATTCTTGACATAGGAAATCTGTCAGTGAACAAAACCAATAACAATCCATGCCCGCATAGATGTTACATGCTAATGAAGTCCTTATATCCTCCGAGCTGAAAAATATTAACCAACTTTTAAGGTGGGATTGTTTTCTGAATTACAAACTAATTCTATGTTACTGTAGAACACATTCTGTATTACTATAGAACAATTAACATACTTTATAATAATTATTGGAAACAAATAAACACTAGCCTCACATAACATTTTGGGTTAATTATTTAATTTCTTCCTCTTGATGTCTCCAAAGTCAGGACCATGATTTCCTTTCTTTTTGAAAATGATTCTGTTGTTTTCTTTTTTAGTGAAAAACATCACGCAGTGTATTTTGTTTGGCTGGTTGTTTTTTGGTGGGTGTGTGTGTGACCTTGACTGTCCTAAACTCACTTTGTAGACAAGACTGGCCTCGAACTCACAGCCATCCACCTGTCTCTGACCCTGTGAGTGCTGGGATTAAAGCTGTGTGCCACCACGCCCAGCTGCAATATATTCTGGTCATGTTGCCCACTCCCAATTCCTATAAGATTCTCACCATCTCCTTACTCACCCAACTTAGTGTTCTCCATTCCCCTCAAAACAAGAACACATACTACCATTTGGTGACTCCATTTACATGACTTTAACATTTGAATATGGGTTAGAAAGCATTTACAACCGTAAGTTTCCATATGGTCTTTCAGAAGGCCGTTACTATTAGCTGTCCCTCTCCATAATTCCTCCTTTACCCCTAGCCTCCATTTCCCTTCATTATTCAATCCTCCTGCTCTAGTTTTGCCTTTATCTCTCCATACATCACTACATACTTTCCTTCCTTCTTTGGGAGAGCCTTTCCTTTCCTGAGTACCTAAGTCCTAACCTCCGAGATTATTCAAATTAGAGACTACATATAGAAAGCTTAAAAGCTAAAATATACATATAAGAAAAAAACATGCAATATTCATCTTTGAAGGTATGGGTTACCTCTTTCAGGATGATTTTGTTCTAGCTCTATCTGTTTACTTGTGAATTTCACTTTTCTTAACAGCCTAACAATATTCCACTATATAAATAACCACATTTTCACTATTCATTCATCAGTTGATGGACATCTAGGCTGTTTCCGATTTCCAGTTATTATGAATAGAGCAGCAATGAAAATGGATGAGTGAGTTCTCTGTGTAGGATGTAGACTTCTTTGAATATATGCCCAATAGTAATGTAGCTAGTTCTTGTGCCACATTGATTCCCAGCTTTCTGAAGAACTGTCACACTGATTTTCATAGTGGCTTTATAAGTTTGCATTCTGACCAGCAATGAGTAAGTGTTTCCCTTTCTCCCAATCCTCGACAGCAGCAGCTGTCATTTGTTTTATTGATCTTGGTCATTCTGGCAGGTGTGAGATGAAATCTCAAAGTAATCATTTCATTTCCCTGATAGCTAAGGATACTGAACACGTGTCTGTTTCTCAGCCATTTGAGTTTCCTCTGTTAAGAAATCTCTGCTTAGTTTCTTATCCACATATTAAAATTGGGCTGCTTTCTTGATGTTCAGTTCTTTTGTTCTTTGTACTTTTAGATGCTAATTGTCTCTCGGATGTATAACTGGTAAATGTATTTCCCAGTAGGCTGCTACTTTACCTGAGCGATGGTGCCCTTTGCCATACAGAATCATTTTAGCCTCATGATGTCTCATTTATTAGTGTGTCTAAGTGTCTGTACTATCATTGTCCTGTTCAAAAGTTCTTTCCTGTGCCATTGAGTTCAAATCTATTGGCTGCTTTCTCAACCAGATTCAGAGTAGGTGGTCTTAGGTTTGTAACTGCTCTATTTGGAGCTAAGTTTCATGTACGGTGATACATGAGGATCTATTTTCATTCTTCTCCATGGAGCCACCAAGTTTGACCACAACAATTTATTGAGTATGTTGTCTTTTTTCCAATGTGTATTTTAAGCTTCTTTGTCAAAATCAGGTGTCCATAGGTATATGGACTTAAGTCTGGGTTTCCAATTTGATTCAGGGACCTAATTCAACTTTAATTCCAGAAACAAAGGCTATTAACCAACATTTGTCTTTTATTGCCATTACAATTTTGTTTTCAACACTATTGCTCTGTAATATGACTTGAAATCTGGGGTGGCGTTTTCTCTAACAGCTTTATTATTCAGGATTGTTTTAGCTTCCTGGGCTTTTTGTATTCATATAAAAAGTTTAAAATGTATATTTAAGTTTCTGTAAAGCATTGTGTTGGAATTTTGATGGGGATTACATTAAATTTATAGGTCAGTTTTGGTAGAATGGCCACTTTCAAATTATTTTTCTTACCTATACATGAACATATGAAATCTTCCTATCTTTTGGCGTCTCCTTTTATATCATATCATCTGCAAATAAAAATACTTTGACTTCTTCCTTTCCTATTTATATCCGTATTGATCTCCTTCAGTTGACTTATTGCTCAAGGCAGGAGGAGAACTACATGAACTACATCCAATAACACCATGATCATGTTTGTTCATCACAGTGATCAAGTATTGTTCAACATACATAACTTGGTAAACTTAATCCAACAAATAAAGCACACTGACAAAAACTGCATGATCATCTCATTAGATGCAGAAAAGGCTTTTGACAAAACTCAGCATTCTTTTCTGATGGGCTGGAGAGATGTGTCAGAGGTTAAGGGCTCTGTCTGCTCTTCCAGACGTAGTTCATGTAGTTCTCCTCCTGCCTGGGGGGCTGTCTCCCATCAGCCCACAATGTCAGGAGGGACATGAGACAAGGCACAAGGCTGGAAAGGCTGGTGAGCACTGTATGCAGATCAAACACCCCAGAAAACACTTCAGGAAGCTAGTTCAACTTTATTTCCAGCAAACACACACTATATACCCTTTGGGGAGTGGGTGGGAGCTCCAGGGATAGGTGTATATAATTGGTTGGAACTAGGCACTTCAAGAATGCTTGATTAGAATTAAACAACACGCTCCTATCATATGAACGGGTGCACAGTACCTGGTTATCCTATAGGCACAGGAGGGGAGAACTAGCAGGGAGCTGTGTCAAAGGCAATATATCAAATGTGGTTAGGGGAATCTATGTATAGAGACACTCTCCAGATGAAGTCAGGCAGAAAGCAAGAGGCTCTGCTGGCGAGGAATCCTGCACCATAAAGCTGAGCTTAGACTGGCTACCCAGACTGGAAGGACTGCAACCTCAAGCACCAAGGTCCTTCCAAAACTGAATTCTGTTTACAGGTAACTTATGTGAATTTTCTGCATCTAAGATCACAAGGAATGCCAGGCTATAATTTTCACTTCTGAGAAATCTTTTTTGTGTGGTTTTGGTGTCTATAAAAGAGTTAAAAATGTTTCTTTAGTTTATGTTTTCAGAAGAATTTGAGGAATATTGGTGGTGTTTCTTCTTTCAAAGTTTGGTAAAATTCTGTGCTAAATCCATCTAGTCCTAGGCCTTTTCTAAAGGGAGACAGAGAGACTTGTAACTACTGTTTCTATTTCATTAGGTGGTATGTACCTCTTTAAATTGATTGTTTGATCTTTATTTAACTTTGTTGTTTTTTCATTTTCTTTTTTTTTAATTTTATTTTTTTCTTATCAGTTACATTTTATTAACTCTGTACCCCAGCCGTGTCCCGATCCCTCATTCCCTCCCAGTCCCTCCCTCCCTCATCTCCACCGTGCCCCTTGCCAAGTCCACTGATAGGGGGAACCTCCTCCCCATTCATCCGATCCTGTTTTATCAGGTATCTTCAGGACTGGCTGCAAAGCTCTCCTCTGTGGCCTAACAGGACTGCTCCTCCCTTGGGGGTTGGGGAGGCCAAAGAGCCAGTCATTGAGTTCCTGTTAGAAATAGTCCTTGTTCCCCTCACTGTGGGAAACCAATTGGTTACTGAGTTACCACAGGCTACATCTGAGCAGAGGTTCTAGGTTACATTCATACATGGTCCTTGGTTGCATGTCAGTCTCAGAAAAGACCCTGTGCCCAGATATCTTTGGTCCTTGTGGAGCTCCTATCCTTTCCTCATCAGACTAACTCCCCTTCTTTCTTATGATTCCCTGTACTCTGCCAAAGGTTTGGTCATGAGTCTTTGCTTTGAAAACACTGCTAGTTAGAGTCTTTCAGATGCGCTCAGTAGACTCCTGTCAATGTTTAGTGTGCATCCCATCTGTCTTTCAAAATGAGGATTGATAATCTT